CGTCCCCATGGCCGTGTGCCGGCTCGTGTGCGTCGCCGTCTTCTCTTACCTCCTGGTCCTGTCAGCTCACCGCCCGGGGCTCAGCGTTGCGCCTTCTTTTGTGCATCCGCCCGGCCTGCAGTGCGAGGCGTTGCCGACAAGCGACTGCTGCACGAGGCCGACAGCTTTCTGACTCGACGCGTGGGGCCAAGGTCACGGGCCGTCTGCGTTAAAGCTTTCAGGCGCCCGTTTCCCCTCACGCTGCATCGCAAGTCCTTGATCTGCCGGCCCCAGGTCACGGAGCCAGGGAGTCTGAGCAGGAGAAGCGAACCGAAGCACCGCTTGCTGCCCTCGGAGTGCAGGACCCCTCGAGCGAATCAGCGACCGCTGTGCAAGATGACTTTCCTTTGTGACCTCACCTACAACACGCCGCTGTGCAGGAGACATCCAACGACACCCGAACGGATGTCAAGGCGCCAGCCCAGTCCTTTCGCATATGCTGGGGGTTTTGTCTCCTTCCGAGGCCTTGAAGCCTCAGAAACTCCAAGTTCAAGTTCAGGGCTAAAGGTTTAAGGCGCACTATGATGTATGGGAGTTAGGGGCAGTTGGGGGGTTTAAGGTTTCTTATTATGGTTTTGGCCTCAAAGGTATACATATAATTATAGGGCTTATTATATATAGTAGTTTATATAGGTTTTATACGGTTTAGGCGTTGAAACATCCAGTTCAGGTCGGCCTGCCGAAGTGTTCAAACGGCAGCCTCCAGCTCGACGGAGTCTACGAGGCCCATGGCTGTGTGTGTTTGTTTTTTTGTTGTTGCGCCTTGTCGGGGTTTAGGGATGTTTAGGATTTATGGGGGTTTCGGGGGGGGGTCGGGCTTATATAAGGGCCTGATAGGGTTAAACAGGAATACGGCGATGGCCGTGCGGTCGCCTTTTCACTGTCTTGAAACCCATTGCCGAAACAGGATTTGGAAATGAAGGGTGCAACAGGACTCCACATGACACACCGTTTCGTTTCTGTGTGTGATGTCCACAGCCTGCTATCGGGTTTAGATCGGTGCAGCGCTTCGTGGCGCTGTAGCTACTGTAGTTTCAACCTACACCATGCAAGCCCCAGCTCTACAGCGTGTGACTCTGTCAGGTGAAGGATCAGGAGGAGGTGGTCCTCGTGGAGGAGCCTTCGTGCCGGGTGATGGGCAGTGGGAGCCTGAGAGGGCGGGGACGGAGTTCAAGCTGTGTCCGTCCTGCTTTCGAGGTGCCCAGCTGCTCCTCTCGACCCCCGTGCAATTCCAGGGCAACGCGGTCTTCGCAGGGAACCTCAGCGTAAAGGCCGTCGGCGACGGCAAGATGCAGGGCCCGTGCATCACCGTGAAGGGCAACTTGACATTACAGCCCGAAGCACACCTCAGCCTTGAGGGCGGCGGGTTGGAGGAGGAGGAAGAGGAGGAGGAGGACGAGGAGGAGGAAGAGGAGGAGGAAGAGGAGGAGGGCGGGTGGGAGGAGGAGGATGAGGATGCAGGCAGCTGCCTCCGTGTAGGCGGCGATGCCGAACTTCTGGGCGGCCACTTGCAGCTGAATGGATGCACAGCACTCAACGGGCGTGGAGGCGGTATCGCTGTCGGAGGCCGGATTCCGGCATTTGCTGCTTTGTCCTATATAGAAAGACGCCGTCTTCGAACGCGTGCGCATTGAAGGCTCTCAGAAGCATGCTGCAGTTTCTGTGCAGCTGTGATTGTTGCAGGCACACTGCAGAGTCGAAATGCGCTTATCGTTGCGCAAGGATGTCGTGCAAACCATGGGGGGGGGGGGGGGGGGGGTGAGAGCCACCTTAATTTTTGTTCCGAGAGTGGCGGTCGAACGGGCCAGGCACACTCTGATCTTGTTTCCGACAATACAAGATTGAGTCGTTGTAGCTTTTGTAATTTGCGTTTGGACATGTGGACCACAGTTTGTTTTTCTGTCCTCGCCTTATTAATCATGGGGGACACAGGACCGACGTAATTCGGAAGTTTGTTCGGTCTGTGATACGCGAGAGTGGCGGACGGATTATGGAGGGGAGCAGGCCCTGGCCGGCCCGGAAGTGCCTTTAGGCCTTCGGGTTTTGAGCTTCGGATTAAGATCCTGTCAGTTTGCAATGCACATTGTCTGGATAGGCCTGATACGCTAGACTCTCCGTTTTGCGTCTGTTGGCACCTTAGGATTCGGGTACCGGAAAAAGCATGAAGTTAATCCCTCAGATTCGTGCCAGCAGCCGTAGCCAGCGCCAGCAGTCATGTTCCCGGGCCTGACTATTGGCTCTGGAAGCCTGGCCCAGCCTGGCTTGAAGACAACAGCTATAAGTCTCAGCAAGGTTTCAGCCTGAGCCTTTTCGTTCGGCACTTGTTGGCTTCTGCTTCGGGTCGAGGTATAGGACAGGTCTGTGGAGGCAGCGGTTGAGCGACGCTGCCACACGCGCAGGCGCCATCGCTGCTCGCAGCGTGGTCATCTCCGGCGGCAATGTCGTCATCAAGAAGTCTGAGGCTAAGGAGCTTGGAGGCAGGTGGAGTGGGTTTCTTTCTTGGTCCTGGAACATGGGCAAGGGATCTCCCCAAAAAGTGGCATGCAGAGTGCCGTGGCCTCGGCCCGCTTTGACGGAAGATTATTCGAGTTTGAGCTTGAGCGGTTTGGGGATGGAGAACCTGCTGTAACACAGTCATGCTTTGGTTTCCAATATTTACCTGGTCTCCCCGCCAGTTCATCTGACAGTATGAGATCATGTCGGTATGCGATGCGATCTTTTTGGTAGCATGAGAGATCCGGTCGATGCTTCAAGCCTGGACCCGATTCCCTTGTAAGTACATGGGTGAAGTGTAGACTGCTGGTACGAGTCTTAAACTGTCAACCAGTACGTGTGCAAATTCTGCTCGTGGAAGTCGTGGAAGCTTCTGTACTAGCTCCGAGCTGCTAGTGCTTCTTCAGTCTGACATTTGTGTTCGCTTCATCCGATGTGTAGTTCCAGGAAACCTGCGGTTCCGCCGCGTTGGCGGGCGTTGATTTCCACAGAGCTTTAAAAGTGATTTCTTCATACTGCATGGCTGCACAATTATAGTACTCAGTTGCTCATATTTCCTATGCTTGCGGCATTTCCATTCGCACAGGAATCACTTTAAATTGGCGGTGCCGTTTGCCCACATAACTCGCAAGTTGGTTCGGTCTCACACTCGCGTGTCAGCGGGAGGATTATAGAGGGGAGCAGGCCCAGGCCTGGCCCCGGAAGTCCCGCTTTCGGTTTCGGGGTTTAGGGCTTCCGGTTCAGGGCTTAGGCACCTGCTTCGGATTCGGGTACAGGTATAAGCGGCGGTTGAGCGACGCTGCCACGCGCGCAGGTGCCATCAAAGCACGGAGCGTGAACGTCTCTGGCGGCAGGGTGATCATCGGGAAGTCTGAGGCTTATCATGATGGAGGCAGGGGGGGAGTGGGTCGCTGTCTTGGTCCTAGAACAGGATGACGAGGGATCCCCCCCAAGAAGTGGCAAGCAGAGCGTCATGGGCTCTGCAGTTTGGGGCGGAGGGTTCTTCG